TAGCTTAGCTACTGAAGTTATGCCCACAAAAATCTCAAGACTCTAGACTCAAAGACTAAGGGCAGATAACTCAAAACAACTTTAAAAATCGCGATTTCAACAGCTAATATCTCCGCCACGAAAGCTCCAAAGACATCCAAAATTCTTGAACTGGTGCGCAATCAGATGGCCAACAAATTCTCTACACATCCAATGTAGCGAAATTGCTTCGTTTGGCCTCCAGGTCGGATTAAGTGTTTTTGCACTGTTTTTTAGCAGATATCTCAGTACTTGACTCCCAAAATCTGCTCAGCTCAAACTAACAGCTCAAAAGCTTCCAAACTCTCCACACTTTGGCTCCAAGTACCATACTAACAACTTCAAAGAAGAAATGCTGAGATATGTCTTCAATGGCCGCCATATTGACTGCAACTTCCGGCTCAAAGGTATTTTCAAACATTTTATAGGACATCTTTAGCAAGCTCTAGCATTGGAAACTTTTCAGGTAAGGCACTTGAACAACTTCTGTTGAGTCTTGCTTTGGTTGCTGAACAAGATCTCTTCTTGCTCTTATGTCAAAAGTCACGTGATGTGGCGGCCATATTGGATTTTGCTAGCCTCTCATATTTTTACTTTGCAAACTACGTAGCTGCTAACGTTCTTGATAGAAAGTGCTACAAATTACCACAATGCACCAGCATCAGACGCTGAACATTTCATGTTCTTGGCTGTTTGTCAAAAGTTGCGTCATTTAGCGTCCATATTGGATTAAAGACCGTGAAAATGCCAAAAGTGATAAAAACGGCACAAAACAGCATATATCTCCGCCAAAATTGCTCCAATAGCTACCATCTTTTGCATGTGACACCGTCATAAGATAGCGATCATTTTCGATGCAGGCCTAAAAACGGCTATTTCCAGCCGTTTGGCCGCCATCTTGGATTTAAGGTTTTTTGGGTCAGGTTGCCATGGAAACCAAACTTGACAACGGAATGCATTGATATTCACAGCACTATTAGATACAGACCATGGGAAGATGTCTGCAAAGTTTCAGCTTTGTAAGTTAGATAGTTCGTGAGAAAATGACAAAAGAGAGTTTTGGTGGACAGACGCGCGGACGGACGGCGGACATGCATATCATCAAAATGTACCTATACATGTGCTAGAACTGGTCGGGGTAATGCATAATAACCAACCACTTCCACCATACATGCAATAACAGTCGCGTGAGAGCTCGCCCCAAAAAGTACATTTTCGTTTTACGGACCACCTAAATGACCTTGACCCCGTGACCTTGGTGACCTTGAATTTTTTTTAATGGTTTTAGTCCAGCTACCCGATCCCGGGGTCAAAAGTGCCAAAATCGCAAAAAAAATAAAATCTTATTAGGGCTCCCTGCCATCTTGGCAAGAGCCCTATTGTTATTGTTAGATTTATTATTATTTATTATTATTATTATTATTATTCCGGCCGATTTTGTTCCAATCGTACCTCCAAAACTGCTGACCAGAATCTCTTCAAAATTTCCACAAAGATAGCTTAGCTACTGAAGTTATGCCCACAAAAATCTCAAGACTCTAGACTCAAAGACTAAGGGCAGATAACTCAAAACAACTTTAAAAATCGCGATTTCAACAGCTAATATCTCCGCCACGAAAGCTCCAAAGACATCCAAAATTCTTGAACTGGTGCGCAATCAGATGGCCAACAAATTCTCTACACATCCAATGTAGCGAAATTGCTTCGTTTGGCCTCCAGGTCGGATTAAGTGTTTTTGCACTGTTTTTTAGCAGATATCTCAGTACTTGACTCCCAAAATCTGCTCAGCTCAAACTAACAGCTCAAAAGCTTCCAAACTCTCCACACTTTGGCTCCAAGTACCATACTAACAACTTCAAAGAAGAAATGCTGAGATATGTCTTCAATGGCCGCCATATTGACTGCAACTTCCGGCTCAAAGGTATTTTCAAACATTTTATAGGACATCTTTAGCAAGCTCTAGCATTGGAAACTTTTCAGGTAAGGCACTTGAACAACTTCTGTTGAGTCTTGCTTTGGTTGCTGAACAAGATCTCTTCTTGCTCTTATGTCAAAAGTCACGTGATGTGGCGGCCATATTGGATTTTGCTAGCCTCTCATATTTTTACTTTGCAAACTACGTAGCTGCTAACGTTCTTGATAGAAAGTGCTACAAATTACCACAATGCACCAGCATCAGACGCTGAACATTTCATGTTCTTGGCTGTTTGTCAAAAGTTGCGTCATTTAGCGTCCATATTGGATTAAAGACCGTGAAAATGCCAAAAGTGATAAAAACGGCACAAAACAGCATATATCTCCGCCAAAATTGCTCCAATAGCTACCATCTTTTGCATGTGACACCGTCATAAGATAGCGATCATTTTCGATGCAGGCCTAAAAACGGCTATTTCCAGCCGTTTGGCCGCCATCTTGGATTTAAGGTTTTTTGGGTCAGGTTGCCATGGAAACCAAACTTGACAACGGAATGCATTGATATTCACAGCACTATTAGATACAGACCATGGGAAGATGTCTGCAAAGTTTCAGCTTTGTAAGTTAGATAGTTCGTGAGAAAATGACAAAAGAGAGTTTTGGTGGACAGACGCGCGGACGGACGGCGGACATGCATATCATCAAAATGTACCTATACATGTGCTAGAACTGGTCGGGGTAATGCATAATAACCAACCACTTCCACCATACATGCAATAACAGTCGCGTGAGAGCTCGCCCCAAAAAGTACATTTTCGTTTTACGGACCACCTAAATGACCTTGACCCCGTGACCTTGGTGACCTTGAATTTTTTTTAATGGTTTTAGTCCAGCTACCCGATCCCGGGGTCAAAAGTGCCAAAATCGCAAAAAAAATAAAATCTTATTAGGGCTCCCTGCCATCTTGGCAAGAGCCCTATTGTTATTGTTAGATTTATTATTATTTATTATTATTATTATTATTATTCCGGCCGATTTTGTTCCAATCGTACCTCCAAAACTGCTGACCAGAATCTCTTCAAAATTTCCACAAAGATAGCTTAGCTACTGAAGTTATGCCCACAAAAATCTCAAGACTCTAGACTCAAAGACTAAGGGCAGATAACTCAAAACAACTTTAAAAATCGCGATTTCAACAGCTAATATCTCCGCCACGAAAGCTCCAAAGACATCCAAAATTCTTGAACTGGTGCGCAATCAGATGGCCAACAAATTCTCTACACATCCAATGTAGCGAAATTGCTTCGTTTGGCCTCCAGGTCGGATTAAGTGTTTTTGCACTGTTTTTTAGCAGATATCTCAGTACTTGACTCCCAAAATCTGCTCAGCTCAAACTAACAGCTCAAAAGCTTCCAAACTCTCCACACTTTGGCTCCAAGTACCATACTAACAACTTCGAAAAAAATATACGTATGTGATATATTGACCTGATAGCCCTTTTCCTGGCGATTCCAGAACACCAAACGGTTTGTCTGTAGCTCCATGGACAACGGAGCTAAAGCATTTTGAAAATAGCACTCTTTGGCCCAGGTTCATAAACTTGCCAAATAGCAGAACTCTAAACTTGCCAAATAGCAGAACTCGAAACAACCGTAACTTGGCTAAAGTTGGTCCGATTTCGACCAGATTTCGTGTGTTTATGTAGAGTCGGGATGTTTGTTACCACACCCATTTGTAGTCACTTAGGAAATAAGACGACGGAGAGAGAAATGATACATAATTAATGTGTAACAACATCTTTCAACATATTGCTCCTAACCAGATCATTCAATAACTGGCAGACTAGGCAATCTTTAGTATTTATATGTGCAATTCGATATTGAAATGCAGTCACAAATCACAAATCCTACATACATCAAACTCTTATTTCACATGTTCTGAAAATGTCATTTAGTGGGGGTGACATGGGTATTTTACGAACACTTCAAACATTTTTTAAAGTAAAAGACACTGAAAGAAGCAGCAGTAAATGACAAATAAGTCCCGTTCACTGCACTTCAATCACCAGCAATACTGTGTCCTCTTTGCGCTATACGCTACATTATTGTCGATAGACCAGTGGTATAGGTTTATTTATATAACAAAAACTTGCCAAACAGCAGAACTCTAAACACCTGTAACTCGGGAACTACTGGTCCGATTTCGGCCAAATGTCGTGTGTATTTGTAGAGTGGAGTTGGCTGTTACCATGCGAAATTGTAGTCACTTAGCCTATAAGACGACGGAGAGAGAATTGATACATAATTCATGTATTACAACATCTCTTGTTCAGCAGATAATCCATTAACTGTTAGACTTATTACATTTTAGTGTTTACATATACAAATCAACGTTGTAATGCATCAACAAATTCCATGCATGGTTTCCATATGTCCCACATTGTCAACCAAATATCCACTTGGCAACTGTTGAAACAATTCGTATGTAGATAACGCCGGCAGAAACGGACTATAATGTGAGAGCGTACTGCAGCCTGCTATTAGGATACGTCTGCTGAAACGTACTATGAGACCGCATCGGCGTGTTGGCGTCTGCTGTTATATGAATAATATAAAGTGATATTCAAACGGTTCTTTACACTCATAGATGCGGTATCACAATTATGACAGGTATTTTATCTAAGTGCAATTTATAAGAGAGTATATATAGATATCCATAGTTAAGTCATAAACACATCAGAAACAAAAACAAATATTAATCTCAAGAAAATATGGTCTGCATTGGAAGGTGATAATCTCGGCCGTGGCTTCACGGTGACACTGTCGCATCCTATCGCAAATGAAAGAGAGGTCAGCTGTCCCCAGTAGAGAATTCCTCAGAAACATCCAATGAAACGGACTATAGATCGCACCATCACGTTACCATGTCGACTCGACAAATGTTGAAACATATGCTTGTAGAGATCGCCGGTAGAAACGGAGTATAATCTTACAGCGTACTGCAGACTGCTAGTGGGAAAGATCTACTGAAACTGACTATAACAATGCGCCGTTGTCAAACAGTGGTACGCAGCGCTTGCTATTAGCGGAGTTACGTCCCTTAGCCGGCTTCTGCCCAAGCTCCATCCCAGCGTATGCCACATTCTTCATTATTGAATACAGAGCTCAGCGCGCAAACTATCGCTGTAAGGAGCTTCAAGCCGGCGGCAAGCGGTCTGTTCAAGACTGTGCTGCACATGACTCGGTGAAGCCCTACGAAGACGTGTAAATGTGTTTTGAACTAACGAACCAACTTCGAAAGGTAGGTTTCTTCAGTACAGGTATAGTATCTGGGTCCTAATATTGATGTGCTCTGATATTTCTAACTGTTTTTTGTGATAACTCAAGCAGTAGTATGTATATTATGCGGGCAATTTCGTTCTGTCACCTATTTTCGTGGTATTTCGATATTATTTTTTGTGTAGAGACTATGATTGTTGAATGTACTTACTGATGGCAGCCTCATAGCCCCAACATCAGGGAGTATTGCTCTCATTAAAGCTAACACATCCAAATAGTTCATATCACTGTATTTGATTTAAATACGTCAAAATGAATGTGTTGAAAGAATTGCATTCATCTTGGTTGTATATTACTTGCATTCTTGACATGAAAGTATTATCATTATTCTAAGGTATAACCCCAGGGAGATTAATATTGTTTATGTTTCAAGCAAGTTGATATAGTACTGAAAATAGAATGTTGTTATTGAGTAAGCTCATGATTGAAAAACATAACCAGAATTTCCCAACAAAAATATAGGTTAACTTAGTACATGCAGAGCGTGTATGTGTAAGTAGTGTGTGTTAGTCTTTTAGGAAGTAATTTTAAAAAAGCCCCTGGTTGTAGCCTTTTCATACCTGTAGCATGGATATGTAACATTAGACATCTTGATTAATTTAACTAAAAGGGGAAGAAGAAATATGTTTTCTTCACAGTGATTGATTAAAATTCATCACATATTTCAAATACCTAAGGACCTTTTATAATGTTCATGATCCGATATACCGCCATGTAGTGCTGGTTCAGGACAAGAGCAATACAGTATCATCCAATTATTCCAGAATTAAAACAAACTAATCTGATTCATTATGCTCATAAGTTTTATTACATTTCATGGGAAATCAACAAGCAAAAGTAATGGTTTCAACAAAATGACATGTAGTTCATGTTATCATCAACACATCATGTACACTTGGATTGTTGTATAGCCACACTCAGCTATATTCCAGATAAATAAGGGTGATCTGTATATAAATGACATGACCTTTATAATTTTAAAGTGTATTGTGTTCTCAGGAGCAAAGCATGAAAGAAACCTAATATCAAAAGATTGAACATATCATAAAGCATGGCAGATAAAAACTGTCATGATCAAGATAGGACTACATGAACACATATCTACACTCATATGCAGAAGACATATTGACATTTGCACAATGTTTACCCCATGTTCGAACCTAGGTAGGTGGTAAAGATCAATCAGGTGGCAATGCATGTGATAAAATCAGTGATGTTTTTCCACATCCACATCCACATGTTTGTAGAATAATACAACTGAGTATTAATGTTCATAGATCAAATCCTGGTCTTCATTTAAATACTAGCATGATACTTGCTCTGGATAGAACATCATAGAGCAAAGAAACATTGCTATGAACAGCATTAGACAAACATAATAATTGTCAAGTTGTACATTGAAATAGACAATTGTCACATTTCATCATTTTGCATGTAAGAAGAAATCAATACAGCAATAAGACTTACAAGATCACACCACACAAGGTCATGTCATGTATCTGTATCTATGTATATGTATATGTTTACACCTGTTATTAGAATACACAATAACCCATGGGTGTATCGATTCATGTTTTAATTCTGCATAAAAAATTCACATGGATGGTATTTACATTTTGCAACATGCTGGCCTGATAACTGCTCCGGCAAAAAAATTGATCACCTTTTCACAAACACCTGATATCATCACTATTTGATGGTGATTCATGAACACATGCTTATGGTATACTCAGAAACATTAAATGAACACTGCTTTTAGTGAAGTTTATGGAATGTTTTGTCCCTTTTCTTTACATACATACCAGGTTGTAGTAAAGCACATGTGCTAATTTCATCGTCATCAACACCCCTTTATGGGATTCACTCCACCGTCGAAAATACAATGTGGAGTGACCCTGAGGTGTTTCAGACTTGCAAAATAGCTTCAACACCCCTTAATGGGACCCACTCCACCGTTGAAAATACAATGCGGAGGGGCCCTGAGGTGTGAAGTGAAGCACATGTGCTAATTTCATCGTCATCAACACCCCTTTATGGGATTCACTCCACCGTCGAAAATACAATGTGGAGTGACCCTGAGGTGTTTCAGACTTGAAAATAGCTTCAACACCCCTTAACGGGACCCACTCCACCGTCGAAAATACAATGTGGAGGGGCCCTGAGGTGTTTCTTTACATACATACCAGGTTGTAGTAAAGCACATGTGCTAATTTCATCGTCATCAACACCCCTTTATGGGATTCACTCCACCGTCGAAAATACAATGTGGAGTGACCCTGAGGTGTTTCAGACTTGAAAATAGCTTCAACACCCCTTAATGGGACCCACTCCACCGTCGAAAATACAATGTGGAGGGGCCCTGAGGTGTGAAATAACCACGACAAAATCAATTCCAGTTTCATAAGAAATCTCCACTAATAGTAGTGCCTAATTTGTGTTTCTCACCATATCAGAAGCATCTGTTTATGATTTACTGTCAAATAGTTACGAAACCACTTGTTGCTGAATACATGAGTGCATCCTTTCTTTCCAGAGTACAACTTATATCAGGTTGTTGCAAATGTAAATACTACTTCTTGAATATTGGATACAGTTAAAACATGAATTGATACATCGGTAGATTATTGTGTGTCCTATCATCAGGTTTATACATATAGATACATCAGTGAATTGTGACATACCTTGTGTACAGGTACATGATGCACACAGGGAATATTAAATGGTCAGTCCACAATGAACAACCAAGGGCCATGATTATGCGATGAAATATTTGTCTATACCATTATGGAAAATACCATTTCTCCATCAGTTTGATCAGTACCTTTAAACTGTAAGTGTTATTTTATTCTACACATATTCAAACAAACCTATGGCAATGAATCTGTCTTGATTTTTATCATATTAGAATGTGTGACATGAAGTACATATAAAAATTTAAGAAAGTGCCATAAGTTGACATGAATTTCTTTTCTTTTAGATCAGCTAAAGTATGTAGATGCATGCTAAAATCTATACATAGAAATAACATATACACAGAAGAAATAAATATATATTAACAGTATACAAAACACACACTCACTCACTCACACACACACACCCACACACACATCTAGTAGTATTTACATATACATGTATGTCAGAGTCTTTCATTTAACAAGATTTACAAATTGATTTAAATTAGCCCTTTTCAGATACATGTTTATATTTCTTCAATATATATACATAATATGTACAGTGCACCTCATGTACATATGAAATTATACACAAGATAATTGAGCATATGCAATAGCTTGACATGAACTAAATTAAAAATATCAGTGACTTTTCAATCAATAAAAGTCAGATGGGTACAATAACAGACCATTTTATCAAGTACAATCAATGTAATTTTCAATTTTTTTTTATTTTATTCCTCGTAATATAAGAAGTTGGCTTCAATCCATATTCATGATAATACAAGTAGAGCCTATTCATATTTTGTAGAAGATGCTTTCGCAATGAGAGTCACGAAGAAAGATACAGGTCTAATTATGATAATACAGGTACAATTCATTTGTTTGTTTATTGTTTAACGCAGCATTCAGCAATGTTTCAGCTATATGATGGCAGTCTATAAATAACCGAGTCTGGACCAGACAAACCAGTGATTGACATCATGAGCCTCGATCCACCCAATTGTGAAACGATGACATGCATCAACCATTGGCGAGCCTGACCACCCGATCCCGGTAGTCACTTCTTCAGGGGTTTGTACAATTCAGGCATATTTTGTGAAAGTTGCTACTTTCACAATAAAAGTCTGATAGGTGCAATAACAGGCCATTTCATCAAGTAGAATCAATTTAATTTTCAACAATTATATTCCTTGTAAAATAAGAAATTGGCCTCAGGTCCACATTCATGATAATACAAGTAGACTCCATTCATATTTTGTAGAAGATGCTTTTACAATAAGAGTCACAAAGATCAATACAGGTCTAATTATGATAAGTACAATTCATTTGTTTGTTTATTGTTTAACGCAGCATTCAGCAATGTTTCAGCTATATGATGACAGTGTATAAATATCCGAGTCTGGACCAGACAAGCCAGTGATTGACATCATGAGCCTCGATCCACCCAATTGTGAAACGATCACATGCATCAACCTAGACGGTGAGTCTGACCATCCGATTCCCGATAGTTGCTTCTTACAACAAGCATAATCACCTTTTGTGGCAAGTATGGGTTGCTTAAGACCTACTCTACCCCGGATATTCAGACGTCAGAACAAATCATGCATCTTTTATGTAAAGTTCCTGCTTTCACAGCTACAAAAGTCATTATTTATAAATACAGATGATAATAATATGTCAGTGTCTTTCATTTAACAAGATTTACCAAATTGATACAAATTAGCACTTTACAGATATACATGATTATATTTCTTCAATATATATACATAATATGTACAGTGTACCTCATGTACATATGAAATTATACACAAAATAATTGAGCAGTGAAATAGCTTGACATGATCTAAATTCTGACATGAATTTCTTTTCTTTTAGGTCAGCTAAAGTATATACATGCTAAAATCTATACATAGAAATAACATATACACAGAAAAAGAAATATATATTAACAGTATACAAAACAAACACTCACTCACTCACACACACACACACACACACATCTAGTAGTATTTACATATACATGTATCTCAGAGTCTTTCATTTAACAAGATTTACAAATTGATTTAATTAGCACTTTTCAGAGGTACATGTTTATATTACTTCAATATATATACATAATATGTACAGTGCATCTCA